AGGACACCCAGAGCCACACACGGCGCCACACACGGTGCCACACATGGCGCCACAAACAGCGCCACACACGGCGCCACACCCGGTGCCACACACGGCGCCACACACGCCACGTACCGGAACCGGCGAAAAATAAGAACCGGGGCCGAGTAAAAAAACCACAAAGATTTATCTTCTCATTTGCTATAATGTGTTCCTCCCAATGGGGAGAAATGAAAATAGCATTCATACCGGTACAAACAGTGCATCAATTTTTACATATTTTTTTATAAAACTGTTTTACTTGAATTAAAAAACGAAAATCAGAAGAGTGAGTAGCAGTTGGTGTGAAACCAAATATAAGCCAAACGAGACTTGAACGATCTAAAAATAATAATGTACTTGCTACGAATTGTGTGTGGCTATTTGTCTTAGCCAGATGCATAGCTATGGTTACGACCATGGCACTGTCTATTTACAATTAGAATATTTTAGTTCACGTTATGACTGGCTGATGATACTTCGCAGCCAAAGTCGGTGTGTGTAGATCTTTTCTTCTAGGCTCTGTCAATAATAAATTCAATAACAGTAATGTAATTCAACACTCATTGAATAGGTGAAGAAATTGGCTTAACTGAATGAAGGCTGGGATTGTATCGCCATGATGATGAAATACATATTTATTAACATATTTTATGTGTACGTTGGTATCAGAATAATGCTACCAAACAAGCGAGCAGCAACATTAACGCATATAGCTAATTTCCAACCCCATGATTGATTTTTTTAACGATTATGGGTTTAGGCAGTGGTTCTCAAACTGCCAGACACCATCCGTCACTGATCGCCTGACAAAATTTCGAGGGTCGCTTGATAATATACGAAGATTTTAGTTTTTAAAATATGCATTTTTTCTTATTTGAATTTACATTTCAAAATTTAACTATTATTTGCAGTGATCGGAATAGTAACTTTTGTTACTGCTCTCTGCCTTCACTAAGGCTACATAAAATTAAAAAAAAAACAAAAACAACTTTGATTTCTTCGGTAGATGTCAACAGCTAATTTTATATAAATATGTCTGTAATTCCTTCACATTTTCACCAAAAAAAAAGTACATAATACATGTATTTTGTCTGAAATTAAAAGTCTGCCTCTTCTTTGACGAACAATAAACTAGATTTGTGAATTTATCCAACATTGTCTGGGAATTGTCTTAGAGAACCGCTCCGCAGATCTCTTCGCACTCTTCTCGCACATTTTTCTATGAAGTTGGTGACCGCCTTAAGTGCCAGCTTCAGTGGACGCCAAATTATGCATGCATTTTAATGAAAATAATATATATATATATATATATANTATATATATATATATATATATATATATGCATATATATACATTATTTTTCTGTTGTTTTGTTGGCTGACGAATGCTTTCTGCCGACACATTTGTTGTTTTGTTGCGCTCCTTTTTTCAAGTTTAACGCTACTTTCTTTAGCTCATTTTATATTGTGCTAACCAGATTGCAGTCTCTCCCCTTATTACAACTTTAAAGATACACAGTTAATGAAACTTCAGAATATGCTTCTTTTTTTTTAAAAGTAAGAATAACCTTTTATTGACATCATTGCATAACAACAATTGATTATCAAAGATGGTAAATAAATACAGTTATAAATGGAATTATTTTTGGCATGAAATAACATAGGTATTATTATAATGGCTGCCTATATTTAAAAAAAAACTTCATGCTAATCTATCACGTCATCCCGAATGAATAAGGCCAGCGGTATCAGAAAAAAATAATATCAATACGAAATCAAATTCTGCAACATATAGAGACTTAGATAGATGTATCTTAAATGTTAAAATATATTTTCTGCTTTAAAGGGGGCATTTGTCAATAACAATAATACAATTTATTGTTTTAAAATTAACAATAAAACAATAAAGACAGTATTTATAATAACAAAAATTAAAAATTCAATTCATTGAGTTCCGGGGATAATTCTCAAACATGATATTCATTAATTTCAAAGGGATTCACTACTTATTATGGTCTTTACACAACTGAAATAAAGGCTAAAATTTATTTGGTAAACTGTACACTGAGCAAGCCTTACATATAAACTGTACACTGTGCAAGCCTTGCATATAAACTGTACACAATGCTAGCCTTGCAGATAAACTGTACACTGTACACTGTGCAAGTCTTGCATATAAACTGTACACACTGCAAGCCTTACAGAGTACAAAATAAAATTCAGTTCAGGTGTGTTTTCGCAAAGTTTTGAATAGTTATGATTTACAACCAAAATAAACTACACAGGCAAGTTGGAAAAAAACAACCCAGCTAAATGCTTATATTCATATAAAACACACTTATACTTATATACATAATAACTTTTAAAAAAAAATATTTTGCTGGTGGCCATCTGTATTACAATGTAATACGTTAATAACATCAAACATGTATTTCTACATAAGGTATGACCTCAAACTAACATCCTTCAACAGAATGGAAGTTTTTTTTTACTTTGATTACGTCATTGCACTGAAACACACCATGTTTAAACAAACATTACGAGAGTGGGGGAGGGGGCACGTAAACCAAATCTAAATGCTATTATATCAACATGCACGTGATCAATTTTTTTTTAAAATGCCGCTGGAACTCGGAAATTTATAAGAACGTTTGGTAAATTTCAAATATAGTGTTTTAACAATAGAAAAAAAATTAATGAAAAATTGTCATTTCTTAAAAAAATTGTGATATCCTGCATGAATCTTAAATCTGGTACAAAACAATGGGCATATGTAAAAGATATAGCTAAAATTTATTAGCTGTTAAAGTTTAATACAGGGACACATGTAAAGGCTGGTGGAAATAAAATATTAAGTAAAAATTTTATTTAAAAATTATGGGTGTTATGGCTGGTAAAATTTAATATCTGGTATAAATGTAATAGCTGCTACAAATGTAATAGTCGGCATGCTTTGTATATCTGGTACAAAATTTAATAGTTTGGTAAAAATATAATAACCGGCACACATGTAATAGCTGGTAAAATGTAGTGTAAAATGTAGTATTTGGTACAAATGTAATATTTGTTAAACAAAATTAATATCTGTTGCTAATGTAATATCTGGTACTAATGTAATATCTGGTACTAATGAAATATCAGGTACTAATGTAATATCTGGTACTAATGTAATATCAGGTACTAATGTAATATCAGGTACAAATATAATATCAGGTAATAATGTAATATCTGGTAATAATGTAATATCATGTACTAAATAATATCAGATACTAATGTAATATCTTACTGAAGATAAATAAAAATATAGCACATATGTCATATCAATGCCAATGAGATTTACTGATTTACAAAAACATCATATTTTAATGTGTCTAAAAAAAATAAATTTAAAAGTGCCAGCGATCGAAATGAGACTACATGGCGTACCATTGTAAAATAATCAATGTATGGTCAGTCGATTTTTTTTACATTGTAACAATAGCATACAACCGCAACAATATATTCAGTTAAAAAATATGTCTGGGCATAACATCGATCTAATATATAAAATGTATATTATAGATTTTTGGATAATAAATAAAACATTATATATGTATATTACATTTAAATCTGCAACTCCAGATTTCATTGAGAATGAAGTAGTTTTAATAATTATTAATAATTACTTCTTTTTTTTTTTTGGGGGGGGGGGGCGTGGGTGGGGTGGGCTGACTTGCAGGCGTTTATCCCTACTCGTCACTTCACGTTAATGAGATCTCGATTTTTTTCGCGCTGATGAAAACTCGTTTCTTCCCACTGAAGAGATCTTGCAACTTCCTATTTATTAGATCAGAAATCATGGGACCAAATGTAAACGTTTCATTGATACTCACTGCTCGTGCACTACCATGATTCCTTTGTTATTTCTTTACATTTGTAAATCGCATCCCTGAATTGCTTACGTCTGCGCACGGCCTTTAGGGTAATAGAAACAATAACGAATTATCTGCATAAATACTCTGATTTATCTGCACATATACCCCATTTTTTCTGCATACATACAATGTTTTATCCGCATGTACAAACATATACACTTATTTACACGCAAATGCACCTATATTCAGCAACCGCAACAAGCAGATTTATCTGTCTGTGGCGACTTTCGCCATGGACGGGTCGGTCTCTGGAGTGGCGCCGCTGGCGCAGTAGCAGCCTGTGCTGATGCTGAAGACCTGTTTGGTCATGACGGCGAGTCCATCCCTGCACTCCCCATGTTTGAATACGGTGACAGGCTGGCGCACAACCTGACAACCCATGCTGTTTGCTCCGACACACGTCCGGCATAGACAAACTGCTTCACGGACATATCTGGAGAAAAAACACAGGTAAAAATAAACAACCTGGTTTTAAAAAATTTGAAATGACAGATGCATTTGTTAGCGTCCTTGTTTGTTTTGTTCATTTCCACCACTGAAAATGATGTATGCATCCACCTGGCAACCAATTAGACAAATACTACTTCTAATAAAAATCGGAGTTGAATACAAGTGAGATGAGAGAGAATAGTTAAATGTTGACACCTAATGTTTGAGCAAAACGCCACAGAGAGCATAGGAACTGAAATGAGACATTTCATGATTTATAATTTAGAGGAAGTTAGGAGGACATATCTCGAGTGCCTCTAATGTATTAGGGTTTTCTCTTGTTTCCATAATGAAGGCTTCCATGGGCGGATATTTGGAAAAATTATCAATCTCACAATAGCCAAACGATTATTTTGATGCCATCCTATCCTTTGGTAAATACATTCAACGATACCATCCTCACGAATAACGAAAATACGTTAACAAAAAATAAATTCTGTCCGTTCTGACAATTGTTATGCAGCCCAGAGTCATTAGGCTCAAGATACATAACACCAAACGATCAATATTATATCATCATACCTCTGCTGATAATTATTGAAAAACAATATATCTATGCATTTAAATGATTGAGTGCTTACCTCGGGAAGTATTCCTCTCCCAGGTCTTTCTCCTCCATCACCCACGGACATGTTGACTTCAGATTCGTTGCTTGTCTCGGCCACCAGGATCCGGTCGGTCTTGGGCAGTCGTTTTTAGCTGGCTGGTCTAATGGCAAGGGTGTGTAGCCCGTGCCTTGCCGCGTCAGGCCAAGGAACTGAGGCACGTCGAGGTCACGGTTCAAGGCCATGACCATCTGTGGCAGGTCAGAGGGCAGCGCGCACTGAGCCTGTCTCTTGTTTCTTAGAAATGGGCTGCGCACGCTATCAAAACTCGTCCAGGTCTCCGTGTGAACCAGACCCGGAAAAGCGATTCGAGATTTCTTGGGTTTCTTGTGCTGCCTGTGATTCCTCCTGTAGTTTCTGGCAGACGACAATGCTGATTGTAACCAATTCGGCTGGTTCTCAACCGAACCGAAATCCGTGTTCACACCTCCCCCAATGACGTAGCTTGTTGCCTCAACCATAAAGATGGCTAAGATTGCTGCTCCAAAGTAAAATGTAAATGAAGTCATTTTTTTTATAAAACTTCTTTTAATTTGAAAACGTTGGTGATTACTGTTTAGAATAGTTCGTTTACAAAAGTGTTCAATTATACGTACATGTGATTAAAATATCTCATGTAATATGTATTGTCGGTTAATGAATTTGTAAAATGTGTTAAGCGTTTCTTTTTTCTTCAGTAGCAGTCAAAACAGGTCGCCGGACTCGTCCTCGTCACGATACGTCCACTCACAATGGCGTAGGGTTCGCAATGGCGTTGGCCTGAACTAACACACATTATATGTACAAGTAGCCAAGCAAAATCCTCCGCTTCTACATCCGGGAGGTTCCTCGCCTCTAGATCGGACGCGCCCATTGGCTGCTATATTTAAATTCTGACGCTTCGCTTCCGAGTTACGTGGGCTGATTTCAGGGTCAGAGAAGGATTTCCGAAATATGGGGCGGGGGCGGGGGGGGGGTGGGGGTGGGGGTAGGGGGGGCTACCTTTACCACGTGGCTTTATTTTAAGCCCTGTGGTCAGCAGCCCGTGGCTTAGCAGCCCCCATGTGGCTCTTTGAAGTCATCGATAAGGGTTTTATTGTTTCGTTGTATCTAATCTATGACCACATTTTAAAAAATCCGCAGTCTCGTAGGGCCCTGGGGTGTTTTTTTGTGTTCGTGGCAAGTATAATTTATGAACAAAACTTCTTCGTGCTCAAAAAGGTGTCCATGCTCCATTCCAGCGAAGGAGCACCCATGGCTGCACGTAAAATACCAACTCTGGTTAAACCATTGTAAAAAATGTTAACATTTTCACACCGTGTCAAAATGGATAGCCCAATAAATGTTGCTTAAAGACAGTGGTTCTCCACCTCTGAATCGCAACCCCTTTGGGGAGGGGGGGGGAGTCGCACGATACCTTCTGAAGGGTCACCCAAGACCATCTGAAAATGCATATGCTTTACAGTTATGAAGTAGCTAAGAAAATTAATTTTGTGGCTTGGGGGGGGGGGGGG